CGCGGGGGATGTCAGGGGTTGCACCGTGGGGGACCAAGGAGGGGCTGCATGGGCCCGGGGATCATCTTGGGGACCATACCGGGAGAAACCGGAGGCGCAGAAGCGATGCCGGGCTCTGCCGCTCCCCGGAGCCTGGCTCCAGCCAAGCACCCACAGCTGCTTCACCCCACAGGAGAACACCCCGCCGCCAGAGCCGCATTTAGGATTTAATTCAAGGCAGAAGCTGGAGGCAGGGGGCAGCCGGAGCCCCGGGCCGTGCTCCCAACGCGAGCAGACGGGAGGATTTAAACCGTTCCTGCAAGAGCTTTGCCTGTGCTGAGGACGGGGACACGGAGGACGTAACAATTCCCGGAGGCAGACGCGGTGCCTGCTGCGGACACGGCGCGCGGCTCCGGGCAGCCCTTGCTGCGCCGCACTGGGAGGTAGCAGGAATTTTCCAGCTGGAATTGAGGTGCTTGCCCAGATGTTTATTTAAAATTTGCCAGAAAAATCAGCTTGTAACAATCCCGCTGGCGTTACACCCAAGCCACCCGCCCACAGGCTGTCCAGGGGTTACCAGGAGGCAAGCTTGCTCCCAGAGCTGAGCCGCTCCGGCTCGGAAGTGCTTGGGAAAGGACAGGATTGAGCCCACCACCCATCCCAGGGCACCAAACCACGACCCTTTATCAGGGAGCAAAAAAGAACGCCCCGTCCTGTTCCCAAAAATCAGGCGGCCCAGGTAACGACTTGGCCCCGCGGCCGAAGCCACCCCAGGCCTGTTTTCCCAGCACGTTTCCTGAAAGAGGAGTAAAGGCAATTTTTGCTTTAAAAAAAGCAAAGTGTACTCCCAAGTCACCCGCTGCCTCCATTTCCAGGACGGGGTTGGAGTTTCTCAGGGGCCGCGGCTGCAGACAAAGCTGGCAACAGAGGAGGGGCGAGCCCAGATGGCGGCTCCCCCTCCCCACCGACGCCATTAGTCTGAGCCCACGGGGGACCCCAGGCCCCGGCGGATTTTCCCCCTGATCCGCTCACAACCTGCTCATTTATGGGAGGCTCTAATTAGGGAGAATTAGCGGGGGCCGTTTGCCCAGCACCGGCTGCCCTCCCAGCAAACGGGATTTCATAGGGATGCCGGGCGGTTTGGACTAAAGTTTATCCTTCTTTGAAGCTGCGGGTCCGTGTGTGCGGAGACGCAGGGGGATGCTCCGGGGAGCTGCCCGCCGTACCCCCTCCTGCTTCCAGTTACCATCCCCCAAGAGAGGGAGACCCGATTTCAGCTGCCCAGCCCCGCGTGGGTTGGAAATCCCCGTCTGCCACATCCTCCTCGTCTCACCTCTGCTACGATCGAGGCATCTCCTGAGCGCACAGCGCGTGGTGGAAGCTGCATCTCCACTAATAAGGGGAATATTCAAGATGAAGATTTGCTGAGCAGGATTCCCGGGGAGATTATTTTAGCTGCGGGTGAACAAGCCCCCCCCCGACCCCGGCACATCTCTGGGGGACTACAGGCTCTGCCAGTCTTCGCCGCTCAGCCCCTCTACGCCACAGCTAACCCTTCGCAGCAAACCGCGAGAGACTCCAACACCTCCCGTGAATAAAACAAACTTTTAATAATGTACAGCAGAAATCGACAGCCTTGTTTTATATTAAACAAAAGATTTCCTATATTACATTGTATTTACATTTGCATACTGAAGAGGTAAAGTGTCTAAGTGGCTATTTTACAGTCCATTTCTAATAAAATATACAAAACCAAACAAATAAAAGGGGCAGATAAGTACCAAGAGATCTGTTCTGAAGCCAGCGTACCACTGATTAACCCTGCGCCACAGACGAGAAGCACAAGCTCCGTACCTCTGCCTCTCCCCAACACGATTTGCCCTCGAGTATCTGACGTCTCCCCTCCTCGTTTTGAGCTGCTGCGGTGTCGGTCTCTTGTCCTGAACTGTCTGTAGCGTTGCATTTTTTTTTTTCCACAGCTGCTGCAGCCACCTCTGAGCCGGGCACGTTTGAGAGCGATTCCTATGTTTGCTACCAGTCAGCTAAGTAAGCACTGCACCTCCCTGGCACATGTTTGCATGAAAAGTGCTGTATAAATGCTACATAGTCAGCGTTCCCATCTCGGATCCTCCTCCATTTTGGCCATCTCGCGATGGCACCTCTCTACAAACAAGCTTTCTTCTGCAATCCCGCTTATAGGGGATACCCTGTCGTCCTGCCCTCACCCCTTCTAACCTTATCCGGTCTGAAACCGCTCCGCTGTCTGCTGTTTGGTTTAGCGCTGAGGCAGATGCATGTGTGGCTACAGTTGGAGGGGGGGGTGAGTGAGTCAGTGCAAGTTACGTAGCTGATTTAGTGTCCTCGAGAAGCAGCCTGCACAGTTAACAGGGATGGGAGACTCGTACTCAGAAACGAGAGCCCGCAGTGCTCGCGGAGGAGCGCGCGGCAGACATACCTACCGGCGTGATGGGCTTTCCTACGGCAGTTTATTTCACAGTCGTTAAG